CAGTTCCAAGTGTTATCTTCAAAATTAGTTTTGCATCTAACCAACATAGAAGTGATAGATCCTTTTTTTCACACCTATAGGACAATTCTTTACAGTTATCTATTTTCAAGCTGTACCCACTATCTCGCTTTGATGCAAAGGCTCAGCTAACTTTGTACTTAAGCTACCTGGGAGCATAGTAATATAGTATTCAATGTTTTGTCTATAAATTACCAGGCAAGCAATTCAACAGGTCTAAGCAGTTGATGCTTTTAAATAATCTAATTGAAGAAAATCAGGTGAAAAACCCTTGTTTGTAAAAACATGCCATTTTGTTAACGTTGTCAATTTCTTTTTTTATTATTATTATTATTATTTTTGTTGAATCTAATCAATCGATTGTCGTAAGATTAAATAGAGATTCTAAAGGATCATTTTAAGTTTTGGACTTCCTGTGTTGACTAGTACCCCTCCCAAGAGGGTTGACAGATTTACTGCAATGCTATYAAATTGATGACTCGTGGAYGTTGTTGCTATTTTCAGCACTACCATGRTTGCTAACAACGGGCACTGGATTGTCAACACCAACCTCAACGTGCGTCGATTCGCTGTCAGACTTGATACGCCCTGAAAACATGAAAAAGCGGAATGGAAATTTTGTTTTTCTGATGGCGGTACAAGTTTATTTTGCAGCTGTTGTTTGCCCGCCGGTCTTCACAATGCTAGCCGATGTACTGGCTGTTTTGACGGAGAGGGCGGGAGACATCGGAAGACAGTTATGACTAATGATGTGAAACTGTGGTTTAATTTTCTCGTCTTCCACATCCACTGATTATAAAAGTCACCAAACGGCGTTTTGGACGAATTGCAGAATAAGGTCAGTAGGATTAATAATATCAAAATTAGAAATTAAATGTCAATGAGACAATAATTGAAGGTTATGTAGTAACTTTATTACCAAGCGCACATGCGCGCACAAGCGTTCACATTTCACATCAGTACGTTAGTATTAACATAAGTTATTCATGCACAATTCAGGTCAGATTTCAGTAGTGTTATTATTGCAGACTGAAATTAGTGTTCATGCATGTTTGGCTACAAATTCATTATAGTYAGGGCTTTAAATACCGTCTGATGAGTGYGTAAGCACGAAACTCGGAGTAACAGCAYATATATACTTAGCTCTAYACTATATGTGTATTGAGCAGTCTTTAATGGGATCAGCTACTTCCTCATATGATTAGTTAGGGCTTTAAAAAAGTTCCTGCTGCGCATGACTGACAAAGTTACAGAAAAACGTGTACATAAATTGYCATTGAAAAGAAATGACTTTTGCACTCTGAATCCTTGTATTAGTACTCAGTAATTATAAAAACAATCCACTATTAATAGTTAAAGCACGTCTTCACAAGTATAGACCGCGTTATCGGTAGCATCATACTCCATCACTATACCACCATGATCCTCGTCTTGGCTTTCCTTACCTTGTTTTAAACCGTATTCTAAGCGCCARGGAGTAAAAGATCTGCTTCTGTTGTTTCTCGTCGGCCTCAATAATACAATGTAAACCTTAGGTCCAAAGATACACAATAAAAGTGTTGTGGCGTTAAGAGTTATGTTTACACTAAGAGTAATTACTTTGTAATCTTTGTCGTTGAAGCCGTACTGGACTGGCAAAAATGTCAGCCATATAACACATGTAGTGTACATYGCAAAACCGATGTAACGCGCYTCGTTAAAATTGGCGGGAGTTTTGCGCGTTTTAAACGCGTAAATAGTGCATAAAATAATCAGCAAAATGTTRTACGACATGGCTACAATGAGRTCGTAGTTTTGAATATTGCATGTCAATAACACGTCAGTTTTTGTCGGGTACATTCGGGTTGGCTCTGGTGGCCATTTACCAATGCCGATTCCAGCAAGGACTAATTCGATCCCTACAACGGCTGCAAAGATTAAAATCTGAGACACWGGGTTGATAAATCCGGGTGGTTTCGTAGAGCGCTCGCTTTTAGCGAAAATTCTGGCGATGCGGATTGTCTTGATGAGGAGGGCGGAGTAACACGTGCATATACAAAGACCAAAGCCTAATCTCTGTATGCAACACACAGCMRTCGATGGRTGAAGCACAAGMGAAATCCCTACAGCATAGCAAAGCARTAGCCCAAATAGAAGCGTAAACGTCARTTCACGACCCGAAGCCTTGATGAGTGGTGTATCGCTGAACTTGATAAAAACTGTCATGACAAGGCACGTGACCACTATACCGAGACCAGCAAAGCACGTGATCATGACTGTCCAACTTTCTTCAATATAGCGAAGGTCAAGCGGTCGGCAACCAGTTTTGTTGAAGTTAGGGGTCTCTCCTTTTCGACATGCCACGCAWTCRAGATTGTCTTTAAAATAAATAAAAGTGCAATTAGTATTTTAATTCATTTAAATGTATTTTAGTGCATAAGGGGGCACAGGGAGGGGCTTTTTGTCATATTTCATAAATATATTGTAGAAAAATATAGATATACGATTTTTTYAAGTTCTTCGCCATGTGTTCTCTCAATAAATTCAATTCTTGCTACGCCCATGCTCTGATTAGTGGAGCAGGCCGACTAACCTTTGACGTATTCATTATCTCCGCAAGGTTCACAAGTCCAGCAGCATGATCTCTCTGTAGTCAATCGTCGGTAATAACCTGCTTTACATGTTCGACCACAGAAAGAATTCACTGTGTTATTCCAGTGTGAGTTAATGTGCAAATTATTATTATCAWAGGAASCTATCTTGACGTAGCTGCCACCGCTAAAGTTAAAGATTTCATAATGTCCCGGCGAGTCACCGTTTTTGTCGAAATGAACGTTATTACCACTGACTCCAGAGAACGACACATTCCGAAGMAATTCCATTAACTTTGAGCCAATTAGCGCWTTTTTCATTGAAGGACAAATTCCTTCCATCTTTGGGCATAAGTCAGCGTACATACGATGTAAAGCATGCGCAAAKGCAAACACGGCGTCGATTACAAACGGAACTTTGTCATCAATGTTGATATCACGAGGTAAGGATTTATTTTGACAATTACTTGAATTGCTATGGAAACTACACTGGAACTGTGTTTCCCAGAATTCTTTAAACCAAGGATTGATGAGYGAGTGTTTAATGGGATCTAGGTTTAACAGGTAGTCTTTGAATCTTGGAATTTCGGTTGATTTTAAACTAACAGTAATCGCTCCTTCAGCTTCTTTTTCGTAGTTTTCAACAGGACTTTGCCGCGTTCCCCAGAAATCACTTCCGATCCACGCAAATTTCCCAGCAGCCTTTGCACGAGCKGTTGCTGCAAGAAGATTATTRATGTCGTTGTCGTTACAAAACAAAACAACTCCCTTAGAATGCTCCTCTTTTAAGATGTCGCTGATAATAAGATCAAAATCTTCTGGCTTTGCATTMTCAGAKATACGAGAGGACGACACGACGCAGATGTCCCAATCTTTAGCAAGGCTTAGGAACTTTTCCATTCCCCTCTCGGCATAGTTACCATAGGAACGAAYCGTGTAGACTGAGCTCCAGTTTAAGGTGGAAATGACGTCAATCATAGCACGTGCCTGGTACGTGTCAGGAGGAACTGTRCGCACGAAATAGTCATACTTATACTTGTTACTYAAGTCAGGACTCGTAGATGCATAGCTTACTTGCGGTAGTTTAAACAGTCTAAGAAGGTTAGCTACCTGAATTGAAACAGTACTCGACGCAGCTCCTATCACACCAGCAATCAAATGAGATGAATTACTTGACGAAGATTCCAAGCATTTGTTAGGATTACGGCTTATAAGTGCCTCAGTGACAAATTCTAGAGATTCCTCTAATGCAATCGTGTCCTGTCCACATGTGTCATGAGCTTCGGCTCCGAGGGTAATATTTGGCAGGATACTTAAGTTCTTATTAACTTCRTTAATAGCATATAACATGGCTTCCAGTCGATGTATCCCTCGTTCATTGTCAATACTGCCGCATGATTGGCCAAATATGTTGCTTTTTCTGTTGTGTACCGGAAATAGGCCACCGAGAGTAATGTCGACTWGATTGCTTGGCGGGAAAGTCGCTTCTTTGTCGCGCGTGCTCGGTACTGCTGGGTATAACGGGGTGATCCCAGTCTGCAGCGAACTCTCACTTGATACAGCCGTGACTTGTGRCAGGAAAAAAAGTAAAACATAACAAACCAAAAGATGACTTGGCAACTTTGTTGAATAAAATATCCTTAWTGATACGGGATATTTGGCCGTAGTCCTTGAGRAGGTCATTATTCACGTCGTAGTTCTTCCAGATGTTTCTAAAATGATATTTCCGTTATCAATGGCGTCCAGCCAGAGAACTACATCAATTTATAATCCTGTAGCCAACGTAATGGATTCCTCGCGGATTWAGTCGCCAATTAATCCTGTATTGGTAAAACAAAGCAAACAAATAGATATTTAAAAAGTAGAAAACGCAAATAACATTTAAGAATAAATTCTATATCTTCTTCCTTTGASTCAGAAAAATATTATATTACAGGAAAAAGGTATAAGGGAACACTAAATCACGTGAAATAGGAAAKACTAKTCAAAGTGAAAAATACAGCAGTGYAAATAAAACTCCTACGATTACTCGTTCCGTGTTAACACGTGCGTGATGATGTCATCCATTTCCTTTTTTGATGAATTCCGGTCTTTTCACACATTTTGCAAAAGCTCTCTTTTAACTTTTTTCATTTCAAAAGCAAAAAAAATCGTAATCCTGATTGTAAATAGTCAGTCAAAAGCGCCGCAAGATATGAGTAAACAAAGATAGTAACTGTTATTGGAATGGCATAATTAAGTCAATTAAAAGGTTGCAAAGAATAATACAWGTCGTGGAAATTGAAAATGTTTTGTTCAGTATTTCTGTTTTATTTTGTTTCTATTTTATTTCCGTGCTTTGGTAAATGTTAATATGTCAACAAATAAAGCCTTGTTGTTTTAAAAATTTATAAGAAAAATTCAGCTGAGCAATATTTCTAAATTGTCAGCATGTTTGAAATGATTTTGTTGGTGCATTCTATTATTATCAGATATAATAACAGATTTACACAATGCAAGGAAGTGAATTGCTAACAATTTTAAAATAGCTAAGTTCGCCACTCTAACAAAGTTCACCTAAAATCATAATTAGTAGATGGCTACATATGCTGTCCACATAAGCACATATATATTCTTTATAATAATATTTTGGGTATATCTTAAATCTAAAGTTATACATACATTTGCGTTGGAATGCAAATTTGTGACATTCTGCACGTCATGTAACGCTCGCATCTATGCAATTTTAAGTAATCTCATTGATATAAAAACACTCAAACAATATACTTACTCTGAGCAGCAGATAATGTAGTTTTTCAGCGCCTTGATTGATAATTCACAAAGGGGTTTTCAAAGATAATGTTGTTTACAGGTCTGCTCTCCGTACCACGCACCATTCGCCGGCCACCAGAACTCAACCTTTTGGCAATGATTGTCAGGACTTATCATTCTAAAGATGAGTCTCAAGGTTTTTACAGACAAACTTATGACTTAACTTACTAGAGTTATGAAAAATTGAACGAAAGATCTCATGATCTTACTAGGCTTTCTGATTCTGTTATGTTTGTTTATGACTCTCGTGAGGTCAAAGCAGCAGGAAGGTTTGTCGGACATTTTCGGGACAGGTTCGGAGACGACAAGTCTTGGTCGGGTATTCTCGACTGCGATCGGAAAGACAAAGATTTGTCTGGGTTTGGCGCACTCAAAGAAGGAAAGATGCACTCATAAAGATTTTTACTTACTGGCAAAAAGATTCTTACCTGAATCCCTTTGATGATRATGATTATTATTTCTATTTTTACTAGTRATAGCATAATTCTACAATACTCGTAACTGAAACGCTACAAATATCATTCAAAAACAAGTCATGGAGCGTGACCGTGATGTGACATACAAAGCGCCACGAAGCTTTCTCACTTGGACGCACAACTTTATTCCACCGGGCCCATATTACTTCCAAATCGGCATCTTGATTATTTCCATGTAGTTGACTAGTTATAAACTAGTAGAGTCAGGTTAGACAGCTCATGTTCGCAAGCTACCAGCTATTGTCTCGATCCACGCAAAGTAAATCAATCTGCATATATTAATCGCAAATTACTGATACATGACCTCTCGAGGGAAAGGCGCACGCTAGGCTGGTTTTGAATACAACACTGGGTTCGGCCTTTTCTTTACCGTACGCGTCTTGAATTGGTGACTTTGCTAGTTCAAAATGGCGCGAAYAGTTTGGATATCGATGCTTGGGCTTCTTGTGGTGACCAGTGCTTTTGCAGGTAAAGTTTTGTGCGTTAAACTGAGATGGAGTCCTTGAGAAACACAAAATTCATGCTATGATTTTATTATAGCTCAATAGACAGTAATATTAGTCAAGGACCACATGCTCCCTAAATTTTTGAAAAGATGAACAAGCTATATTATTCTAATGGAAGTTTTCCTATTCTGTATGGATTAAGACTGACTTGTTGAAGGGTTTTCACCGCGTGTGGCTTACAAGACTTGACTGGTGCATTTGTCGAAATGTTTGAATAAAATCAAGGATRAGTAATGGTTCAAGATGCGGTGTTTATGATCTTAATACGAATATTTCTATTTACGTGTCTTGGATTACATCTTTAATAGATAAACGGTTTCTAATTGAAAATATGTTAAATAAGCTAAATTCTTTTAGTCCTCCTCGACGCTTCTGTTGTATTTTTGCTCGTGTTCGCGATTTCTGTTGACTTATTTGAGGCATTTTTACCAATTAACAAATTACAAATAGACTAAAAACGTTGATAATTCGTTTTAAGGTAGCAATCCAGCCGTAACTAATATAGAATTTTGTTTACTCTTTGCAACTGCTTGAAGTGTTTCTCCGCGCGACACCTTTGCTGTGCTATGTCACGACATCTAAACCACATTCTGGGTTCTTCCAGGGAAGCGCTACAAGTGCTACAACTTTAAATCTAGAGTTGATATCATAAAATGTGCTTTTTTTTCTGCATTGCGCGGAAAGGAAACATATTAAGACCATTCATATATTTTCCTGTTTCAATCAGCTTTTTTTACTTTTATTATTTGTATCTATGAGCACATGCGTGTCGTGTTATATCTCCCTCGCACTCTAGTCACGTCCAGAATACGAGACTAGCGTGGTAGACTCCCTTGAGAAAAGAGCTTTTGTCTGATAGAGTCTTAAGTAGATAGTTATTAGACGGATCTCCATCGATATTTTCCATCAGGCGTTTGACCAGGTCATAAATAGTGTCACAAAGTGAAAAACGTTATTAAAACCATCACTGGTCGCCATGTCAAACTGACTTGGGTGAAGGCAATTTTGTTTATCGAACAATCTAGCAATTCCAACATCAAACGATGCGCTTTTGTTTGCGATCACTGAAAAAGTTGTCCTCACATTCGCACCTTCAATCATACTGCAATTTCGAGATGGGTTTTTGAGAATGCGTGTCTAAATATCTACATTTTAGACATAAGGTATTGATACCAGGGAAGGTTGGAGTATTTTCAATTTTTTTATCCAGTAGCAGATTTTAATGAGCCTTGAACATGTGCGTGATTATTGTTCCACCAAGCATCTATACCAAAGTGCCTTTTGGTCGCACATTGTCCATTCTAGATACAACAGCGCAACGGAATTTGAACTAATATTAATGTCTTGAATGCTGTTTAGTAGTAATTACCACTTACAGATTCACAACTGTAATGCGTATGGCCGACAGAAATTAGTTCACACCCATCTGATCGGCTCCCTGACATCGTGGCTATTGTGATACACAGTTACGGAATGAAATATTTTGTCTAATGATCCACCTGTATGATCCAATTTGAATTAATTACCTGTGGCGATATTATTTTTGCTCAGTCAGGCAATACCTACACTTAATGCATCGTAAAAAKGTCATTCAATATGAAAAATAACTTTAGAAGCGTGAGCGAATCTAGGGAAGGAATCGTCGGACYGAAAAGGGACCTGAAAAATACATTTATCAATTACTGTTGCATACAGGCATCCAGTTTATTGCATAACACTGGGAAAAATCGAAAAAAAAATTAAATTTGATGTAAATGATTTCCATTAAATCTACAGAATTTTGGACACTTACATCATATTTACATCAAATTTACAACCTTTAAAGCGCGCGATTTTTTCCAGTGCTATGATATATCGTATACTTTTGCTTCGACGCTCAATACATCATCAATGTAACAAATTAAAACAAAAATTGTCACCGCCTATGTAAGTGGAACAGTTAATCATTTGATCCTGCTATGTTTCCTGACATTGCTGCGGTAAACCGCTTCAAATCAGTATTTTAACGTACCAATTATTGTAAAACCCCGACGTATCATTGTGAAATAAGAATAATAATATCTTTTTCTACTGAATCTGATGTACAGCTCCTCAGTACTCCTGCACCACTGAGAAACCCAACCTTGACATCGATGCCTCTGTCCCTGGTGAGATCGTCAGTCCTGGTTTCCCAGGCTCCTACTCGGACAATTCAGACTGTACCTGGAAGCTTAAGGCCCCACTCGGAAGTGTTGTACGTGTGACAGTCACTAAACTAAACCTTGATAAGAGTGACTTCTTAACTCTTGCCGATGGTCAGACGGCTTTCTCTGGAAACCTCTTTGGAAAGTAAGAAAGTAGTAATTATTTTTCTTGGATTTCTCCGTTAGTTTTATTGTATGTATATAACATGGTAATCACGTTATCTGGAAAGTATCACTAAGTTTTTTTCTGTAATTATTAAGGTATTCGCAATGCATGGCGGGTAAACTATCCCTCTTTTCCACTGGTCAATACATGCACATTCGGTTCGAATCCGATGCATCAAATAATAACGAAGGATTCAAAATCGAGTACAAAGCAGTCAGAAAAAGTGAGTACTATTTATTGCTGGTTATCAATTGAGTTGCGAGGATGGTAATGATGATGATGATAATGACGATGATGATGATAATGATGATGATGATGATAATGATGATGATAATGATGATGACAATGATGATGATAATGATGATGATAGCGTTGATTATTCATAATGATTATGATATCAACAGTCGTCACTTATTGGTCATGGTTAGTTTATATTTTGTAACGAGAGACGTCTAGCTATGGTTGCGATAGACTCGTGTCGTGTGATTTATAATATTTTAATCTTTTTTGGCAGGTCAATTAGTCGAAGATGGAAAAGTTAGTAAGTATAGTCCTTCAAACGTATGAAGCCATCTGAACTGACTCAACTAAATGATATATATGTACATAAAAGAACTATTAGCTGGTGATATCGCAAGAGTTTTTTTGTTTTGTGCTTAATTACCGGCCTCTGCATGAAGTGGGCTGGTCCACTAGGGAAAAGAAAACACAAAAACGAGCCCGGGCCATCCAAGATATAGGTTAAAACCATCCTCTAATTGCTATTTCTTATATTTATAAGTTAAAAATATRTCAATGATGACTTATTTCTCGCTTTGTACTCATTGTGATATTTCATTGTGTTTAGACACCATATGTTCGCGTGATGCCAATCCATCACCGCCGAGGGGTTACGTGGCTCATCCTGGTTTCCCAGGACCAGTTACACAATTCAAAAAATGCGTTTGGAAGATACAAATGAATGGTCGAAATCCATCGGTGTCCTATAAACTGCTAGGACTTAAGAAAGACCCAGGGTTTTGTTACGACAGTAAAGTTCGCATGAACTTTGGAGGGAGTCAAGTTCCACAGTGTGGATGTGCAAGTCTTCCAGAAAACCAGAGATCAAAATCTAGTCGTGGTTTTATAGAGTTTCTGTCACKATCAGAAAGTGGCGTTGGTCAACCGGGGTTCCTGTTGTACTACAATGACGTTGGTAGGTTAGATCCCCAATTCTTTATGAAMCAAAACAAGAAGCAAGTTCAATGGCTTTCCAGCAGTAGAAGCATAAGCAGCAGAAATACGTTATGCACAAAAACCAAGGATATAAGTCATCAAAGATTTGTTAAGACAAAATTAATTGGTGAATTAAATGAATATCGGACAATACATATTTTGTCTTTTTTAATTTGATATATTTTGGTTTTGTTGCCGGGTTTGTTTGGTGTGTTTTAGTGGACGAATAATTCTTTATTTACACTTAAACTCAGTATTGTTGGTATCATGAAAATGACCTTTAATCTTTAAAAAAAGTCTTGCCGCAGTCAATTTATCGATCGTTGTTTCTGTGCTCCTTTCAGATTCAGCCAAGTGTTCTGATATTAATAATTGTCCTGCAATGGACGACGACCGCAATGTCGGCTTTGAYAGGAACAGCAACGTCAAGTACGGTAAGTATATGATGGGGTAGTGTAGAGGTGGGATTGGGACATCAGGATATGGGGTGGGGGCGGGGGAAGGGGAAATGAGGGTTGTGAAGTGGGCATTTTTGACGAGTCCCAGAATGTGATCATCTATCACGTGTCCACTGTATGATCTGTATGATGCAGCCCGAGTAAGCGCTCTAAGAGCGTCTCGATATTGTTCTCAGTGTTGCTTTCCTTGTTTCAGAGAAAAAGGCTGTCACGACAACACCAGCACCAACCACGATTCCTCCGCCAAAGGGTTTGTGCTTTCTTGATTTACACTTGTTTTAGAAGAAAGCTTTAGTATTCAGCAGTTTCAATCTCGATCATCTATTCTTGTAAATTAGAAAAAAATTAAAATATCGATTTTTCACAGAACCCGAAAAGCCTTTCCAAGTGACATGCGACAAGGACAAAATTGAAATCGCTCTCAAGTYATCCGAGTTTGGCGACGGAAACTTTAAAACTGACACTGCAACTCTTAAGGACACCAACTGCAAGGCTAAACGTCTGAACAGTACGCATGTCTACATGGAAACACCACTGGACGGTTGYGGGACGTACCACAACTACAGCAGTGATGGACGTTACGTCATCTACTATAATCACATTGTACTCCAGAGGAAGTCTAATGAAGACGGTGCAATTATTACTCGTGACCATGAAGCTGTATTCGAGTTTGAATGTCGTTATCATCGTAGCAGTGTCATGTCTGTTGTTCATTTTACTCCTTCAAGAGCTACTGTTTATACAGCGACAGGTAAAACTGCTCCTAAAGGGGGAGGGACAGGCGATATTAGTACTGTTTATACAGCGACAGGTTAAACTGCTCCTTAAAGGGACACTGTCAATGGCACGCATGCGCGAGTAAACTTGAAAACATTGGGCTAGTGTTTTCAAGTTTATGACTCCTGCAAGTTGGCGCGACATAAATCAGCTCGTAAACGTAAACAGATCTAGAATATTCCAAAGTGTGTCAAAAGCACCACAAAATGATTTACCTCGAAGGTAATACTTTCAAAGTCCGTTAGAGGTGAGACTGTTACTGCGCATGTCATCCATTGACAGTGTCCCTTTAAGGGGGGACAGGCGATATTAGTACTGTTGTACAGTGACAGGTAAAATTGCTCCTAATAGGGGAGGGACAGGCGATATTAGTACTGTTGTACAGTGACAGGTAAAATTGCTCCGAATAGGGGAGGGACAGGCGATATTTACTGTTGTACAGTGACAGGTAAAATTGCTCCTAATAGGGGAGGGACAGCGATATTATTATGGTTTATACAGCGACAGGTACAAAAGCGCTCTCGTGGTATTGAAATAGTTTTGTTCGTGACGTAACAACGGCTCATTGTTTTGATGCAATCTTTAACGTATTAAAGATACCTTTGTCAGCCCTACCAGATCTTATTCTTGGTTTTTAGCCAAGGTTCTGATTGACTTCTGGGCTACAATACCACACTGTGATACTGCGATTGTATCCGCATTCTATGATRAAAGCATAATGATTAGTGTATACATGCCGTTTGCTCCATTGTCGATCTGCGATGGGGCGGCAGCATAGACCAAATAAGATCGATAAGTGTGTAGCTATAAGCTGTTCTTAAGTTTTTTAATCTTTTTTTTTTCAAGAAAATTTTGGCAACTTCACGTTTATGATGAGAATGTTCAAAACCAAAAAGTACAAMGAGGCGTACCAGGAATACCCCGTTCATGTCATCGCCAGTAAAGATGTGTTCATCCAGACAGAAGTCAAGGCAAAGGATGCTGAGCTGGTTCTTTTTGTAGAAAACTGCAATGCTACACCATCTGAAGATCGCAATGACAAGGAGTTTTACGACCTTATCGAGAAAGGGTAATCAATCAATCAAAAAATCAATCAGTTGTGTAAAAAGATTTAACACCGTAAAAAAAGTATGTGAAATTACTTACTGACGTTTCGGACATTAATCCTTCGTCGGAGTAAAGAGATKGAACTGAAAAAATCAATCAATCAATCAGAAAGAATCAATCAATCATGCAGTCAGACAATCAATCYATCCATCAATCAATCCATCAATATTAAGTTTCGTTTCTTATTTTTATTAAAGCTGCGAAAAAGATGAATCCCTCAAATATGACCACAAACTCTCGCCTGTACAAAGATTCAATTTCAAGGCGTTCTATTTCAACGTGGACACACAAGCTAGTGTTCACATTCACTGTAGAGTACGGGTGTGTCGTAAGGCTGACAAGAATTCTCGCTGTGTGAAGGGTTGTCAGTTTGGCAGGCGCAGAAGAGAAGCGACAAGTACCGATGAGAATGATGACTTCACCGGTACTCTTAGTTTAGGACCCATTCAGACCGAGTCTAATACACACCAAGGTATGGAAACAATAAGTTTATTTTACAAGAGAGACATCTTTATGAATAATTAATTCTTGTTATATATGATGTAATAAATCCTTTTGACAAGATATCTACCAGGCATGTAAACTTTCAGTTTCTTACTGGATGAAATCTATGGTGGCTGCCTGTCTTATGAGCAATTTGTTTTATAACAATAATATATATATTCTTTTAKTTTTTGACCAAGTACCATCCCCCTGATAAATTATGCTATCAGCATAAAAATAACCATGTTGTAYCGTAATTATWTYCCAGGSAGATCWGYAGCRTCGGGCAGCAGCCCAAAGATGTTTGTCGAGGTGGTGGTCGGTGTACTGGGGTTCTTTGYTGTGGTTCTTTTAGCCGCTGTARCTGTTGTACTTTTGAAAAAACGCCAACAGCAAAGAAAGGAAGCCCTCTCTTTGATGATAGATGATAGTGAACACTAGGTTGTACTGGCAGTTTCTTGTTTGTATATCATTGTTTTATAGCAGGTAGCCATAACTAGTAAATAGTGTAATAGGGTAAATAAACCCAAAGGTGCACTTTTGAAACTTTTATCGGAACATTTTGGTGTATCATTTTTCTGCTAAACTTTTGCCATGCAATATATATWTTTTTAAACAATTCAACTTTGTAATAAACAAGTATGAATACAACATCAGAGTACTGGAAATTAATCTCAAAGTGGACGTTTTTGGACAACCAATTGACATCGACACTCCTATCCCGAGTATGATGCGTGACTTCGCCGTGGGAAAAAAATTATGGAGACGGGGGTTCAGTAGAAGATGCAGGCATTTTTAAAAGGGGGTTCCAGTTGACATTATTGACGCTCACAAGAGGGGCATTCCATGGTTCCATTTACTTGAAAACTAAGCATTTTATGAAGYCTGCTTTGTATATTTTTTTATATTGTATTGAATCAACAATTTATGTTGGTCCCATTTTTGACAACACCGGAAACACCGTCTGTGGCTATAAAAAACCGAGTTGGAGGTCATCCTACTAATGAAGCTATTTAGCAAAAATCGTTGTCATCTATGAGAGCAGAAAACGCTTATTTTAAGACTCGCAATTGTCATTGGCGGAAGCTATTTAACTGTTTTATCGTCAAACCGTCCATGCACCAGCCTGCTTTGACTAAACTTGGTATCCACTGATATACATTGTAGAAACTTTGGATTGCATGTTGCCGAGACCTCACGCAATGACAGTTTGTATTGACCGTAAAGCAGATCTGCATTTATTAGCTGCAAAGCACCCTTCTCAAGACCTCTCAAGGGAATGACACGCTGGCTTAAGCACAACTCCAGGGTTTGGTCCTTTCCTTCCACCCTCCCTTAGATAGCTCCACTCTCTGCTGAGTCGCTAAATAAAACTTAGCTGTAGTTGAGCTGAGTGTATGGGCAAGGATTTTCAAARGATTCACAGTATACAGCAAGAATTCTAATTCAAATTTCCACACGAAAGATTCAAGCCTCAGGTTAGTTAAGAGCTGGCGCCACTTTGAAAGTCAATAAAGAGAGTTCATGTGTTGGTATCAAATAACCAACTCATGTGCTGCCTTTCGCATTCATTCTGTGCTAGGCTTGCTCTAGATAAAGCAACAGCAAGTCAGTCCTTCTAGTAAAATAACTTAATTATGGCTCAGAGTTTTAGCCGTAGGCCAAAGAAAGAACAGCATTGTTTTTGTGGTTGACTGATTACAATGTGATTAAGCGGCAAGTAAATTTTGAAGGTACTAGTTTGGCGTGACTCCCGCACAACCACACCAAGAATATCTTGGTCATAACGGTTGCAGTTGTATAAGGATCTCTCAAAGAACTTGAAAACTTGTATCAACGTACGTGATTTTCAAGAACTTTCAAGGTAACATCCACATGCTTCTCAACATAAAGTTGTTCATAAATCCCTGGTTTCGGAGTCCATACGATGCATGCTCTCGCTATATATTGCTGAAAAGTCATCAGAATATCCCTTTCTGMAATATTCTATGTTGTTCAGTTCAGTGTATGGTGTGATTTGCAGTCACGTCTAAAAAACAAACTCTTACTGCTGACTAAGTGTGACCAAGAAAAAACACCGATGTTTTTAGACAGTCTGATTTAAAATGGCGCTTATCGATTCAGCTCACAATAGTTGCTGACGTGATTGCATTTTAGTTTTCATTGATAGTTTTTACTCAAAGATATTCTTTGTTGGCAGTCGATTTACACCCACAACACTTCTGAAACGAAGCCACAAATCAACCGTTGATTGATCCAATAGAGATAAAATAAGTTTTTAATCTTTGAGCTATAGATTCTCCAGTATTTCATAGATACTAGTAAGGGCTATAATGCAACATTTCCCCACTGGAAAATTGTGAACATTTTGCTGAAATCTTCTAGAAATAACTTATGCTCTCTGCATCAGGGCTTGTCAGACAAGCACTATTTGATTATGCACAGACATTAATTTGCCTAATGTCTTTTGAAAAGATTAAAGGTCATCAGTGTTTGTGCCACACGCTTTAAGAGGACCGGAAATCATATATTTAGAATCTTTTTTTTGTTTGCTTTTCAAAATCGTTTTGATTTATGGTTTGAACAATAATGTAGCAGCAGGAATGGCGATCAGGTGGTGTTCATGGCGCATGCCATTGCACGAGCTTTTCCATTGCACGACCTTTTTTGAACCCCCTTTTTTCTCTGTTTGTTTCCAAAACGTCACTTAACGTTAATTACAATGGAACAATTACGTTTGAGAAAGTAAAAAGGTATGGTTTCCTTAAATTCCTGACGTGTAACTATGGTTGGTTAACAGACTGTTCTATTATGCATCTTACATGATCTTAACAATCTCGTACYCAGCGACTGGCACTGCCTCTCCTACTGTGCATGCTCGAGGAACACCACTTTTGTTGACAGACACACGAAGAAAGAGGGAGGCATTCGTAAATTGAGAATAGGCTCTGGGGAAGAGRTTAGCATGTTATTACTGAAGTACTTAAATAATGCCTTTATTATGTCTCTACTTTAGGTTGATTCACTATGCTAGTGCTATCCGTTGGGTTTTTGATAGTCTGTTGCTCCCTTTCACAAGGTAATAACGTTTGTTTTATTAATTTCATATTATCTGAACAGCGCATGCGCATCTGTGTTATTTTCGGGACGCTTTTTYCTACTAAAATACTAAACTTGAGACKATGTATTTTTGGCAGGGCAAACTCCACCAAACATTATAGAACTTGCCGAACAAAGGACTGGAAAATTAACCCTTGATGATCCTAACGATGTAAACCCCAATAGAGGATTAAAACTGCTTTGTAAAACTAATGGCTCGACACCAATGACTTTTTCATGGACATATAACAACAATCCTTTAGCCGAACAAAGGGGGATCACTATGACAAAGACAAATGACAAGCCTAATGAAGAAATCTTATTGGTGGAGGGCGTACTTCCAAGAGACAATGGGAAATATCAATGCTTTGCGAGGAATGCATACGGCAAAACATTTTCAAGACAACTTCCTGTTAAAGTTACCTGTAAGTTTTTCGTGGTAATATTTATAATAAGTGAACATTGTGGCCTGAGTCTGATCGAGCGTTTCTCTGTAAAGAAAATAGAACATTGTCAAAACTAGAATCAATTACTCTGAGTTGATCACCTTGTTTCTTCGGCGCCCATTGTCATTGATGGATTACCAAACACTGTTAGCTATGGGATTTGGAGTCCATCAAACACTCCATGTCAGAGGTGGATCCACGATTTTTTCAATTGAGGATGGTGCAGGCTACTCAAGGGGGAGGGGAAGCACACTGTAAAAATGGTCACAAAGGACACACACAAAAATTTAAACGGGGTTAAAGTGTCGGTTCACATCAAATTCACTCATCAGCTGGATTCACCCCTAGATTTTCTGCAATGTTTGTAGCACTTTGTGGGCACTCAATTTGTTTGAAGATCAATAACGCAAACCAGAGGTCGGGAAATGCATGTTTTGGTGATCAAACGCCATGAAGTAATAACCAACCAACAAATCTGAGAAAAAATTCTTTCTTTATTTCCGCAGATGCTGCTAGTTTCCGCGAAAATGAGGATATTGTGAAGGACGTTGATGTTGTTGTTGGCGAACCATTACGACTGGTTTGTCCAGACCAGAATGATGCATCAAATGACTTTGGTGTAGTTCATATGTGGGCAAGAAAGAAAGGCATCAGATTCGAGACACTGAAAGAAAACGATCACAGAGTCCTTTTACCTAACGGAAACTATCTATTTCTATATTTGAACCAATCAGATATTAGAGAGATTAGCACATTTCCAGATGGAACTGTTCAGTGCGTTCTCACTGCTGGATCTGTGATCTATTATTCACATCAGTTTAAATTAAAGGACACAAAAACAGGTATGATATTGTAGCAACGGATGCCTCTGTCATCTCTTGTCATGAGTATCATGAGTAACGATCTTCAATGGTCAACTTCAGTCAACTTGAGCTTTACGTCCACAATTGCACTTAAAGGAAACAAAATTTATATAAAAATAMGTMGCAATGCACCGTTTCCGAGGTGCGAGAACACGTTGAAAAAATCGCAGGCGCGCGCATGAAAACGAGTCATTTTCGGAAAGTGTAACGAATCGTCCTTCTAGTTTCTATTTACCATGCGCGCGTCCGAAAATTATCTATTAAAATATTTCTGTCATTATTGTGGCGGAAAGACATGTAAGTTGACTGATTCCAAATTTCCGTTGTGATTTCAGAGAAAAAACGTTTTGGACCTACTTTTCAAAACCCTTCTTCTGATCATCCCAAGAGCCAAGAGCAGGTTATCCAGGGCAAGAGGAAAAAGCTAATTTGTGCAGCAGTTGGATAGTAAGTTAAGGTTTCTGTTCGTATTAAACCAAGACTCGTTGAAAGATTGAGTCAATAAAAACGAACTCTAACAATTCTAGTGTGCAGTTTTCTCGTCAACAACTTTAGTGTTGTAGTATAAAAACGAGCGACAATAAATTGCAACGACACGTTTCGTTGTCATCCCGACAACATTTTCAAGCAGATTTGAGAAAACTTATATAGTGTTTCTAAACAATTAAACACTTTGGCTCTAATAGAGTCTGATTGGACATTCAACATAGGACCTAATTTACGAATAAATAACATCTCATAAATGAGGCAGTCCTGTTTGTTTAGGCATATTTTCAATACAGTAAAACTGTTTTGAATGTATTGCAGGATCCGAGTCATCAGTTCTTGCGTGGCGGCCATTTAGGTGTTTACAAATTGATGATRACTTTTGTGAGTGTTCGGTGATACGCGGTGGTGAAGATGACGCGTGGTATATCCCACATATTGTGCATCGCACAAACTACATTTATACTTGTAAAAAACCAAGCACTGTCGATTCACTACCGCGGGTTTCACTTCCTTAACTCGAAGCACATCCTCAATTTTCTTGAGTAGTGAAAACTGGTTGTAAAACAAGATTGATCTGATTCCCTAGACCAATAAGCTGATTTTTCACGACCTCGGCTGACTTCTGGTTATTGAATGGTATTGGCATTCTTAGTGTTTTCTTGCTGTCATCATTACTCGAACTGGTTGTTGATCTGGTGTTCTGGACAGATGAGCGAACGCTATTAATTAAATCCAGTGGATATTGAAGCTTTGAAAACACTTCGGTTAGACGATTAGATTCTTGATCGAATAGTTCAGGCGTTGATGAGTCGTTGTGCACGATTGAATATAGTAAACAGTAGCGCTTTCCAYATAATATCTTTCCTTTCCACATAATATCTTTTATTCACTATATAGGTTTTCTCAACTTCAAAAATTAAATCTGCTTGAAAATGTTGTCGGGATGACAACGAAACGTTGCAATTTTTGCAGTTTATTGTCGCTCGTTTTTATACTACAATGTTTCTCTATAAAGTTCTACTAATCAAAACTTTAGTGTTCCTCAATAAAAGCTGCTAAAGAATAAGTAAAGTTACAGGTGTTCTCGCTTTTGTTTTGCGTACAACGTTGCACCGTCTTCTTTGCACATAGTAGAATTCAGGTTTAATTTCATACAACATATTGCCGTATCTCGCAACGTAGTACATTACGTAAAGTATCACAGTCTCTGTGCAGCATTGCTCGTGCGCTTGAACGTATTTCGATGGCTTCTGATAAACTGTGTAGTTTTCCGCAACAGTGTTTGCTGAATCGTACAGAGATAGTTTACGCTTTATTCATTGTTTTCTTTCAAAAGCCCTGCACCAAGCATAACCTGGAATCGCCTTAATAACGATAAAACGTTTGCGAAGAAAATTGAAGATGGAAAAGATGGGTTTTCGCTGGGAAAATTTGGAAGATCACTGATTATTAACACTGCATCAGCGGCGCAACATGAAGATGGATATTACCAGTGYGTGGCTTCAAATGGTGTTGGTCCTGACGTGAWATCTCCTCCTATTAAGCTGCAAGTATTTAGTAAGTGTCTTATTTACCTCGCTTTTTATTCTTCATCATTGCTTGAATCGAATTGCAACAGTTTATTAGGAAGGCTTGATTTGTTATACGTCGAAAGCTCGAATTAAAAACAAAATCATATATGTACTTAACAGTTCCTCCCCTATGGACCGTTAAGCCACCCAAAATGCTGTCAATTCCAATTGGCTCTGATGGTTCCCTTAARTGTGAAGCTCTTGGAAATCCCAAACCTTCCTACAAATGGTATTACAATGGCACAGCCTTTACATCTGATGATCAGCTGTAAGTATTAMCTRCCTGTATAATGACTATGTTAGAATTTTTGTCGCAACTCAATATCCCGTGAAAAAGCAGATTTGATCGAGAAATGATTGATCACTGAACACACGTCTGATGCTCCGATAATTTACCATTTACCGCCCGCCTTAATTATTGGTTTTTGATGAAGCGGATTAAACATGGACGGAGATTTTGAAGGCCTTTGGAAGCAATAATTTGTTTGATGATCCAGCCACCTATTAATTTCAATAATGCATGGTGTTGATTGATCAAGCATTTCTGGTTTGGCCCGAGTATAAAATATCGTTTCCGATTGCATTTCAAGGGTACGAATGGTTCCATTAGATTAAGAGTGCTCGATGAGTTCAGTATTGCTTGAAATGCTTGCAAATTTACTCAACCCTTGTTGGCCTGCCTTCTTGGGTTCTTGTCAAAATAATACATTTTACATTTGCATTTTACCAAAGTGCTCTTAGTTTTTCCAATTCCTATACATTCTAACATTTTTTGTCTATCGAGGGGCCCCGATATAACGGTTGATGGTCAATACCTGAGATTTCCAAAGATGAARCAGATAAATCACGGTATTTTCCAATGCGCTGTGAAAAATGACTAYGGAATGTTGGTATCGTCAACATGGGTTAAATTCAAAGGTAAAACTCATCATTTTTATTGTTCAAAACTGGCGTCGTTAACCACGAATACAATCGAACTAAGTGAATGTGTTCCTGGAAATGGTACACASTWATCTTTCTAGGCTGCAGTAGCATGAGAAACATGTGAGACAAAGTGCTATAACGTGTTACAAATCACTTTTTTCAGCTACCATACCAAATATCCAAGATTTTGGACCTTTCTATCTATTCAAGGGCACAAAAGCCACCCTCAAGTGTGTTACAAACGCTGCTCCCCGTTCARTCCATACCTGGTTTCATGATGGGAAACAGCTAGAGATGAAAGGCCGTTATTCAACGGATGAAGAAGGATCGCTAATRATTAGTAATGTGATTAACACTGATGCTGGGAAGTACAAATGTTCAGCGGTTAATACCATTGGTAAAGATGAAGCAGAGGCCGAAGCCACAGTTTATGGTATGGTATATGGAATATCTTGTTGCTCTATACAGTGATTTACTTCAAAAAAGTATTGAAAGAGCTGATAGTTTTACAAAAAAACTGCGGTTTATTTTAGCCCCATCTTCTGTATCTTTCCTCAGAAAAGACTTCCATTGTGAATAAGCCTCCTGCAAATGTTTCCATTGAAGTAGGCAAACCACTTGACTTGCAATGTTCGGCAAGTGCCGACCAGCGCCTAAACGGTTCCCTGAAATACAAATGGCTGAAGGATGATGCTGTCTTGAGGAACGCTACGAATCGCCTAATAATAATAAAAACTGTTGTCACGGATGGCGGCAAGTATAAGTGTGTTGCTTACACGGACGCAAAACAGTATTCTGAAGATACTGCSACCACTATTGCAGATGTTCAAGGTAASTATCGTTAAGGTGCCTGTGCTACGTTCTAATTTGTCCAAGCTGGGCTGGACATTACTTACCGGGCTTCCTGTTTAATTCTATTATAGGCGTTCCTTCTCCTCCTTATGACCTGAAAATCACAGACTGCAACGATGGAACTACAAAAATAACATGGAAAAAAGGCGACGATAATGGCTCTCCTATCACTGGTTTTATCGTAGAACAAGAATCAACTTACTTCCCAGAAGAGTGGAAAGTAATCGCAAACATAASTAATCCAGACGCACGAGAATACACATTAAAGTTAGCACTATGGGCTGACTTGACATTTAGAATGAGATCCGTCAACAAGAAAGGACCAAGCAGAGTAAGCACAGCAACGTCAAAAGGACAATGCATCACTAAACAAGGATGTTAGTATTKAACTTTTTAATGCTTCTACTCATGTTAGTAATCCYTGTTTTTAAGTGACTTCAAGACAAAATATARATTATGTTGTTTGCATGCATCTTTCCAGTGCCAACAATGTTTCCCCAAAATTTGAGAGGTATTCCAGGAAAACCAGGAGAGCTGGACATCGCTTGGACAGTAAGTTRATATACTTACTATTAACAGGAAAATGTTTAGTGATCGCACAGTTTTCCCGAATCCGTCGGAGAAACCTGTTTTTTGAATGACTTCTTTCTATTTTGTTTGTAAGAGCATTTGTTTTTTTTTTTTGGTTGTTTTCTTGCTCGATTACGATGATCAGACGGGTTCATGGAAGAAATATATCTGTTCTTATGTCCAAGCCAGCTGGTCTGGTTGCCAGCGAGAAATTCAGGAAAAAAGAAGTCACCAAGCAATGAATACTTTCTAGCAATTTTTGCCAGGAAAATAAAAACACGTTTTTGCCTTTGTTTGCTAAAGCTAAAAGAAATAGGTTTTTAAGATATTTTTGGTCAATTAACGGAGTTTGTTGGTTGTTAAGAACAAATCTAAAAGAAAGAAAGCTGGTTACAATCTTTATTTTTCAAGGCAATGACGAAGCTCCAAGCAGGAGGTCCAGGTCTACAGTACATCCTCTACTACAAAAAAGCTGATGCTGATAGATATGCGCAAGTATTAATTACCGATCCTACAACGGAGCGTTTTACAGTACCTAATGCTGGCAACAACATCAAGTGGAAGTTTCAAATTAAAGCGAGTAATAAAATAGGTGTAGGCCCTATTAGTAATATTGAGGAAGCAGTTTCTGGCGGAAATACAACGCCAACATTGTCTGGCGTGATTACAACGACATATCCAAAAACATTTCCCCAAAATTTGAGAGGTATTCCAGGAAAAGCAGGGGAGTTGGTAATCGCTTGGACAGTAAGTTAACACTTATTAACACTAGCAAAGAATGCTCAAAAATATTATGTTTGTCGGGGTTTTCATCCAATGAATGATTGTTTACCAATTAAGGGAAATGGGAAATGGGAAATGGGAAATGGGAAATGGGAAATGGGAACACATTATCATCGACATGAAATGACGTCTGGCTTGCGTTTGCGGTGACGGCTGTAATAGAGCAAACGCAGGAAAACCATGAAATAAAATCAAACTAAATACTAAGAAATAGCGGCTATTTAGAGACAAATTGTTAGTATCAATGAACCAGATCACAATGAAGATGAATCCACATGGGACCATTTTCAATTCATCTTTATTGCGTTCTGGTTTATTGATGCTAACAATTTGTCTCTAAAAAGGCGCTATTTGTTAGTATTTAGTTTGATTTTATTTCATGGTTTTCCTGCGTTTGCTCTATAACAATAAATGCAAAACTATAATCACATCGTCAAATCCTAAATGAATATATAGTTACTATGATCAAAACAACACAGTCAATTAACGAGAAGTTTATATAGTTTATGCATAATGCTTTTTTTTACTTTTTTTCTTCTTCAAGGCAATGACGGAGCTCCAAGCAGGCCCAGGTCTAGAGTACGTACTCTACTACAAAAAAGCTGATGCTGATAAATATGCGCAAGAATTCATCAATGATCCTACAACGGAGCGTTTTACAGTACCTAATGCTGGCACCTACGTCAAGTGGGAGTTTATGATTCTTGCAAAGAATAGAAAAGGCGAAGGGCCTATTAGTGGTATCAAGAAAGCATTCTCTGGTCAAGATCCACCAACAGARASACCAAAGGATGTAAAAATCGATAAAGTTTCTACTCGTTCTGTGGAATTATCTTGGAAGAGAGTAGATCCAAATGGGCCTGGAAACATTGACGGTTACAAGGTATGCAGTGTGTTTACACGTGAAAGTATAAAAAAWTTGATTCAAAGCTATTAAGTTCTACKATGTTTAAGTGCTATATATAATTTCAGGAAAATGCCCTTATTTCAAAACTTCATACAAATATATGAMTCAYTGATATCTATTAAAAACAATTGTAGGAAGATATTTGTTTTGAAATTATCCCACATCAGAGAAATTTTGGTTCAAAAGATGGAAGAACAAAAGGATGGAGTAAATGACGTCATTAAGTCCAACATTTTTTGCCGGCCAAATTATTAAAGATTTGTATCAATATCTCTTGAAATCTGTTGCTTCATGATTATTAGACCCATATTGATAGGTATATTTGATTTCCAAGTATTTTCTAATGTTTCGYAATTTTCGTCCAAGTAACCCTTTAAACAGCAATGTAATCAGCGAATTTTAAAAGTATTGATTTTGAGACAGATGCACAGGGCCTGTGAGGTTTTGTTTTATACCCTCACTAAATAAAAATCATAAATTTTGAACGTTTGTTAAATCCATTATATTATTTTCAACTCCTAAAATGTCTAGCTAACGTGCTCCTAACGTAGAGGTTTGCTGCCTTGAAAAAAACAAACAAACAAATAAATAAACAACAACATCAAAGTTCTTTTCTTTATTCGAAGATCTACTACTGGGTAACAAAGGATAATACAAGAAGGAAAAGAAGAGCGGTTCCATCTGATGCCTCTATATTCATTGCCAACCAAACTGTCAATAACAGACAGACAGCAACCTTGACTGGGTTAGCTCCTGGTAGCTCTTACTCTCTGGTTTTAAATGCATTTAACAGTGGAGGACAGGGACCTTCGAGTAAAGTGCATAGTTTTGACACCAAGCAAGGTAGGGCTGTTTACCAAGGGTGGAGGGGGTAGACACCAAGCAAGGTATGGCTGTTTACCAAGGGTGGAGGGGATAGACACCGAGCAAGGTATGGCTGTTTACCAAGGGGGGAGGGGGGAGTAAAGTACATACTTTTGACACCAAGCAAGGTATGGCTGTTTACCAAGGGTGGAGGGGGTAGAAACAGACAAATGAAATGATCAAATGTGCGTCGATACTGTGATTAGCAGACACAAGCATCTATTTATCGATTCATATACTCTGACTCTTTTTGTTGATTAACTAACGTCAGCTGCTCCTTCATCGACGGAGGATCCATAGAGCTGAAGTCTCTTTCTGACGGTCATAATGTTGTCAATTCTCAATTTGAGTTTTCACTCACTTGCCCTCCCCTCTTAAAGGAATTGGGGAGGTTACTGAAATAAATTGCAAAATTTCTAATCTCAAAACATGTTTACTCTTATAGAAGCCGAAAATCCTTTCCAAGTGACATGCGACAAAGATAAAATTGAAATCGCTCTCAAGTTATCCGAGTTTGGCGACGGAAACTTTAAAACTGACACTGCAACTCTTAAGGACACCAACTGCAAGGCTAAACGTCTGAACAGTACGCATGTCTACATGGAAACACCACTGGACGGTTGCGGGACGTACCACAACTACAGCAGTGATGGACGTTACGTCATCTACTATAATCACATTGTACTCCAGAGGAAGTCTAATGAAGACGGTGCAGTCATTACCCGTGACCATGAAGGTGTATTCGAGTTTGAATGTCGCTATCATCGCACCAGGGTCTTGTCTGTTGTTCATTTTACTCCTTCGAGAGCTACTGTTTATACAGCGACAGGTAAAACTGCTCCTTAAAGGGGGAGGGACAGGCGATATTAGTACTGTTTATACAGCGATAAGTAAAACTGCTCCTTAAGGGGGAGGGACAGGCGATATTATGGTTTGGGAGAGAGATTAACCATCAGCTGTTGTATAGAGAAGGGATTAGCCAGTTTGCCCGTGTTAATTAACTGTAAGAATGAACTCATGATTATATCGTCATTTATATTAGCGTCTTCCATTGACTTCACTAAGATTCTTTTTGCTCATTTTACCAGAAAATTTTGGCAACTTCACGTTCATGATGAGAATGTTCAAAACCAAAAAGTACAAAGAGGCGTACGAGGAATACCCCGTTAATGTCATGGCCAGTGAAGAAGTGTTTATCCAGACAGAAGTCAAGGCAAAAGATGCTGAGCTGGTTCTTTTCGTAGAAAACTGCAATGCTACACCATCTGAAGATCGCAATGACAAGGAGTCTTACGACCTTATCGAGAAAGGGTAAGAATGTTTGCACTGTTTTTTTGCGGCACATCTTTTAACACGGCATTAAGAATTCTTTAAACGTAAGGGTAAAATCAAAATGATCACTCAATCTTCAAAATTTGTCGTCCCAGACCGATTCATTTGAGCCAGCTCTGTAACCCAGCATATTACAATATTATTGCTTCAGCTGTCCCAAAGACTCAACCCTCAAATACAATCACAAACTCTCGCCTGTACAAAGATTCAATTTCAAAGCGTTCTACTTCAACGTGGACACACAAGCCAGTGTTCACATTCACTGTAGAGTACGGGTGTGTCGTAAGGCTGACAAGAATTCTCGCTGTGTAAAGGGTTGTTTGAGCAGGCGCAGAAGAGCAGCGTCCAATGCAAACGAAGAGAATGAAATCAGTGGGACACTTACGTTAGGACCAATACAACGACAAACTGAGGCTCGCAAAGGTATAGAATTAATAAACAATATAGTGGAAGTTTTGATAACACCTCAATATCGAATACTTGCAAAACATGYCTAGAATTAAGGTTAAGGCTCAAATATTTTCTACTTTCTTCAGGGAGTTCAGCATCATCAGATAGCATCTCAAAGATGTTTGTTGTCGAGATTGTGGTCGGTGTACTGGGGTTCTTTGTTGTGGTTCTTTTGGTCGCTTTAATGGTTGTACTTTTGAAAAAACGCCAACAGCAAGGAAAGGAAGTGCTTTCTTTGATGATAACCGACAGTGAAGAATAGACTATGTGAAGGCGGAGAAATACTAGATAGTAACAAAACACTCAACTTGTCGTGAGAGTTGTTGTTGCTGTTCAAGTTTACCTTGTTGTTTCTCAAGTTCTTTGGCAGCGCATAGTCAAGCAATGCAAGAAACATCAACCAAACTCAACAACAGCATTATTTAGTCTATTTAGTGCCAAGSTGATGTGTTTTATATTCCTTATTTTAGGCCTTAAATTATATCATAATTTTTTGATATTTCCTTAAGTCACCTTATTCCCTTAAGTTGCTCAAAGTTCTTGAGGACCAGCGGTGGGCTTTATTTCTTGGTCTCAAGCCTTGTCCACTCGATAAGCACAGCATAGTCTAGTGTAAAAGCCAGCCAAGATCTTCCCATACTAATCGCTAATCTAATGTTTCTTTCCGCTTTTATTCTTAGTCTTCTTACGTCTACATGTGAACCATGCTGTGTCGTTTAAATCTTTGTTTTTATTTACGTTTTTGTATTAATCTTTTACGGTAAACAATGAAAAATGGTGGAACAATAGCAATAGTAATAGCAACAACAGCAACAGCAACAGCAGCATGCAAGACTAAACAACAACAACAGCAACAAGAGGAACAGAAACAGTAACAATAGCAACAGCAACAGCAACAGCAACAGCAGCATGCAAGACTAAACAACAACAACAGTGGCAAGAGGAACAGAAACAGTAACAATAGCAACAGCAACAGCAACAGCAATAGCAACAGCAACAGCAACAGCAACAGCAGCATGCAAGAATAACAACAACAACAAAAAACTGAGCACAGCAACAGTAACATCAACAGGTCCAACAGCAACACTACCAACAACAACAACAACAACAACACTAGGCCGCAGCAATAGCAGCAACAATAGCAACAGCTACAGCAGCAATAGCAATAGAAATAGTAATAGCAATGGCAATAGTATTGACAAGAAAACTAATAAATAATAAACTATTGTCTTTTCTTAATTACTGTTTTTACCATTTTAAAGATAAAATACTTTACTTTTTTACTTTATTAAAATAAAGTTATTTTTGTTCATCGTGTACGTAATTTGAAGTATGTGTTTCATCATTATTATGCCAATCAGAGTGAAATTTGATATTGGAGGGTGACAGCTTTCATACCATTTTGTTCAGTATATTATTATTTTTTTGTTCAAACTATTTTTTTATTATGTCCACGTTGGCGTTTCTCTGCAAAGTTTGTCAATTAAGTAGACGCGGACAAAGAGACTGGAAAGGGGTTCATAAGATCAGACAAGGCTGTCAGAAGAGGCGAGCATTTTAATTCATATAACTTATACTAATAATATAAACTCTGATATGGTACGGTAATCGTTGATAAGAATGCCATAAAAGTTAATGCTTTGACAGCTGAGAATTCATAGTCGGTTGAAGGTCTTGATAAGCTATTAATAAGCTTTTCTGTGCCCCTGCCCCCTCCCCACTCCGACAAAAAATTCAAAAATTCAAATATAATAAGTAAAACGTTGTTACTCAAAGTTTTTTTTGTGCTGGATATTTTACGTAATAAGAATGCTATTATTGACCGTTTTTTTAAGTCTTTTGAACCTGGTGGAACTGAACAGTTCTAATGAAAACTACTGATTTCAGACCATTTCAACCACACAACTTCCTTTTACTTGATGAATGTTTGACTTGACTACCCTCAACTTCTCCTTTTGACCATACAACACACTGAGACTGAATCTTATCAGTGGATTTTCAGCCAAGAAAGACATACTGTCTCCTCCCCCCAGAGTTACAATTTTGTTATCACAACATATTATGTTACCTTTTAACGAAACGTGCGAAAGCAGATATGTGTATAGATCGTCGCATAACATGATGCAGAATGACAGGAAAAATATTTATGTTTTTAGTKGTAGCCACGATTCAAGCCGTTTTACTCATTGTATTTATGAAGTCTTGGGGCTTGACCACATCGCACTTKGCATCGACTTCGTTTCGTGAGATGTGGACAACGTGGAGTAACGACTCAAACACGGTTGACACAGATRCACATTTACATGGCTTTGTTGATTTGGAACATAAAGATTTCAGCTGGTTGAARGTCGCTAAAAATGTCACTGATTCTCCAATGGATAATATAATGCCTACTTTAGATAGAAGAAAACCTTTGAAGCCTTTTACGACAACAATATCAACGTGGAATCAAGAAAATAGCTGGAACAGTGAAGAAGGGGTTTTGACTCCAACAGTMAATCACGAGCCAACACAAATCTTCTTATTTATATTTGTCACGACAACTCCCAAAGCTGTAGAGAAAAGGAATTTTATTCGGAATTCCTGGGGTAGTATCCACGAGGCAACAAGAACACAAACAAATATGAATGAATCAGACCCAAGTGATGATGATAACGCAAAGGCTGTTTACGTTTTCTTTATGTTGGGAACTACCGGAAACGAGACGCAGGACCAAGCTATCGAACAAGAAGCTAGTGAATACGGTGATATCATACGTACTTTTGAGAAAGAGTCCTACAGAAATATAGTACTCAAAGTTTGGTTTTCATTCGAATGGGCAAGACATTACAAACCCAAATATATCATCAAAATCGATGACGACGTTTATCTTCATTTACCAAGGTTTTTTACATGGATAACTAAAACACAACTTCCCAAAAAGTTATATGCAGGTTATGTYCACTACCGCGCGTACGTCAGTAGAAATCCAAGAGATGAACACTATGTAAGCAAAGCTGAGTATCGCGGGCGCTTTTACCCAGAATACTGCGCAGGCCCGTGCTACGTTATTTCAGGAAATGTTTTAGATARATTCGTACTGCTTTCAAACGAATTGTCAAAATTTCGAGTTGAGGATGCATATCTTGGGCTTATAGCAAAGAATGCAGGAGTGAAACCATTTGATGTTGGTGGAAGGACATTTGTTTGGAGCAGATCATTAAATAAGTCTGTGAAAAAGTACTCTGACGCAAGGCTTGCTATTGCGATTTGCTTGGGGGACAGTTTAAGTTTAGAAACSATGAAATATATTCATGAAAGATATCTTAATCTTTACGAAGACAAAGCCTCATAATATCGTRTTTATAGAAAGAAGTGTGTTTATTCCATCATACCGGCGAGAGGCTATCCTGTATGTGTCTTGCTAACGATGATGCTACGCGATATCATYTGAGGCTTCTCATGTAGAAACAMGGAGCATTGATCTCAAAATTGAACTAAATGGAACTTATGAGACCATGATGCATCGCGTTCACTGTCAGAAGCTGAAAAACGGAATCCAGTTATAAAGAAGGAAGGTTTAACTGTAACATARACTTGTGAAACGTTTATCAACTATTTTCTAGTTGGTTTACACTAATCACAATCCCTGTGATCTTGCTATATTTGTATCAAAAAGGAAAAATGTTGAAAGTATTGGTATCCCTGTGTARTCACGTGACTTAACATTTGTTCGAGCAGTCATTATGGTCAGGATTGGATGTTGTTCATACTGTATTTTATATTTACTACAATTGATAAATGATATTTATCCTCAAATGTATTCAATATTTTCGTTTCCATGAAATAATGGTCTTACACGATGGTTTATTTGGTTTGTTCATTAGACCCATTGTACCTAATCATCTGATCTCACAGTAATTTTCCTTCGTTTTGTCTACGACTGCAAACGTTTTCCTTTTTTAAATAGCTATACATTCACTCTTCAAATTAATTCTCCATTCTTCGACAGGTTTCTCGCAGACTTTTCAAGAAAGGTTTTACAAAGAAAGGTTTACATGAAGTTTAAATGATGTAGTAAAGTAATGATGGAGTAAAGCCAATGTTGGGTTAAAAGAGTCAAAAAGTGTTCTTTCTTGCAGTCGTGTYAGTTTTATAGTCATTGCGTGACCTAGTTCCCTTATGGACTTAAAAGATTTCAATGTTTTATGCATATATTACCACAGCCTACGGGTGCATGGATGATCGCTTGTTTGACCCCACACCACTAAAAAGTCACTAAAGTCACAAAAAGATGACRCACTTGCACAAAATGGCCGTACTATTTCTTCTTGGACTCTTTGCAGTAATATATTGTGTATTCATGTTCGTAAAATTCCCTGCAAAGAGTCCTTCAAGCAAACGTAAGCACACTAAAGGTTCAAGGTTAATTTTAGGTAATTTTCAAACTCAGAAAAAACGAATCGTCATCATAGGAGCTGGTGTAACAGGTCTCGGTGCAGCATATAGACTTCATGAGCTTGGAATATTGCAAACTRATACWCAGGTCGTGGTAMTAGACAAGGGAGGAAAAGCTGGAGGACTCGCTTCATCGACAAGAGATACAAATGGTTTTCTTTGGGATAATGGCGGTCACGTTGTATTTTCTCATTATAATTAYTTTGATCGTGTTTTAGACACTGCTGTGAAAGACTGGAACAAACATAAGCGAGCTGCATTTGCTTTCATGAAAGGTTCAAGCGGGAAACGACGGTTCATACCATATCCAATTCAATACAATGTTWTGTCAATGGATCACGATGAACAAGAAAAAATATTACGAGAGATAAAACAACTCAGAACTAACKCAGTCCAGTTAAAACCACGGAATTTTGATGAATGGCTTCTCCAGCACTTTGGAAAAGAGYTGTGCAMCGTCTTCATGAGAAAATACAATCGCAAAGTGTGGACAGTTGATCCTAAACAGATGAATGCCGTGTGGGTTGGTGAACGGGTTGCAATYCCTAGCATTTCAATMATCAAAGCAAACGCAGCTCATTCAAGCGATTCAAACTGGGGACCAAATAAGCTCTTTCGCTTTCCTCGGTATAATGGAACTGGTGGAATATGGACCKCTGTAAAATCCCTGYTGCCTCAAGGATGGTTTCACTTTGRTCATGAGGTAACAGAAATAGATGTAACCAACAGAAAACTGAAGGTTAAAATTGGTAGTAATACACCTGAAAACTATTATTACCTACATTATGATATTCTAATCAACACGGCACCCCTTGATCTACTGCTCAACATGGTCAAAATGGTAAACAATGATTTTWTCAATGCGAAAAACTTGTCAAARCAAATGCTATATTCTCGTACACATATTATKGGTCTAGGGMTGAGAGGCAAAGCCCCAGAAAATCTGGCAGATAAATCATGGATGTAYTTTCCTGACTCTGACWCTCCGTTTTACCGAGTGACGGTATTTTCAAARTACTCAGCTGATCATGTTCCCAAAGAGGGGACATACTGGTCGCTAATGTGTGAGGCAGCCCAACCACTAAACTACRAAGGAAATCCAATCAACTGGAGTAAAGAAACTCTACTAAATCAAACAATATCTGCTTTGGTAACATATAGATTTATAACCAAAGACCAAATTGTCTCACAGTATTACCATAAGTTGGATCATGGATATCCCATTCCTTTTTTGAAGAGAGAAAAGATTTTGGAAATTGTACAACCATGGCTAGAATCCAGGAGTATTTACTCGCGAGGAAGATTTGGAGGATGGAGATACGAAGTAGGCAACCAAGACCATTCGTTTATGCAAGGCGTCGAGGTTATCGATCGAATTGTGCGTGGAATTCCTGAAGAGACGTATCCTAATCCGACGTTGGTGAACGSSTTGAGAGGGACAGACCGAACCTTGACTAATACCAAGCCAAACCCTGATTATGAAGTAGTCGTTTCTCATTATGATGAAAATCTCGACTGGTTAGTCAACGAAGCGAGCCATATTCATGTTTACCACAAGGGTAACAAAGTCATTCCTGAYTTGAGGTTTCAACARTGGGAACGCCTTCCTAACGTCGGCCGCGAAGCGCATACTTACCTCTACCACATCATTCACAATTATCACCGCCTTGCTGATGTAWCGGTATTTCTACAAGGGGAATATAACGATCCAAAAGAATCTCGTACCTTTTGCTTTTCTAATATAACAAAATATGTGAARAAGGCTCGCTTAGAGGGTTATGTAGTTAAGTCATATAAAGTRGCATATCACAACTGGCGAAGAATTGAACACTTTGGTCGATGGCAGAAATGGCTGAAATCTGGGAAAATGCGAAGAAGTAGATATACAATGGGAGAGTTTTGGGAATTAACAATAGGAACTCCCCATCCACCGAGGTTACAGTATTCCCTTAAAGGTTGTTTTGCTGTCACTCGCGAAAGAATACACTTTAGGTCTCTKTCTGTTTATAAGAAATTGATAAGTTTCCTTGACGATCATGGTAACCCCGAGGAAGGACACTACATGGAGCGCATGTGGCATGGCATATTCTTTGGATATTAGTGTTGTGTGTTGATGAAAAACTTTTGATAATTCATGAGTGCACTTCAGATCTGTCTATTTGGTCACATGATTTCTTTTTACAAACTCAGACAAAACATTGCTGTATAATTCATCCGTCTTTTATCACAAGAGCTAAATAAAATTTTAATGCATTGCGTGGCCGTAAGCGCGAGTGAGCGCTCTTCGATCGTCCACTGGAGCTCTCATTTCAAATGCTCCTAACTTTAAAAGAACAAATTCTTTGCCAATTTGGGAATGGGGAGGATCGATGAGGAGGAGGGGGGGGGATGGGGGGATTGGGGGGGATATTTATATATGAGTGATTACACAGACGCCTGCTAAGTTGTAACCAGGCATGGACATGCAACCAGGAGAAAAATTTAATATATAAAGATCTATAAATATTCAAACATTTTGTAAATGCTTATAAATAGATGAGATCCGTGAATATATTTGTGACATTSATTTTATATATAAAAGTCAATATTAAGCTTAAAATAAAAATAAAAAATATTGTTAAGAAAGTCGATCAGTTTTGTTTGTGATTAAGGTCATGAATCAGTTTGAAACTCATTCTTTTTGTYCCACTTTCCACATCTCTCATCTCTTAGAATCTTAATGAAATTKTTAGCGCACGCAAATAGATCAGATACTATTTTTTTTACATAGCGAGGCTTTAAGCGCAACATTGACAGTTTAATCCAATTCTATTGAAATTGAATGAATGGATTTCCCTTTAAGAAGCCTTCAGATCTCAAACTAGTARGTAGGTACATTACTGAGTGCTAATAACAGACCATATTAGGTTATTTTCGCGGATAACGCTTGTAGAACACAATATGTAAATTAGGTCCACATCCAGAGGTGTTATGGGATGTTAATGGGATCGATAACCACGTTGTGACTTTATACCACGTGTTTTTGACCGTTGCTGGTGGTGTTTTCTCCCACCCACAGATTCACGACACTGTCACAACGAATAACGTGATTAATTAATTCAAAATTTCTTCACAGCTAATTGAATGCATTGTCTTGTTGAATGCATGAGAAACCGAATTAATATCGCGGAGTATTGTTATTATCAACATTATATGGCTGATGGCTATGCTAATGCTCAAGGTCATAACCCCTGTCTGCGACGGTCACACTCCGGAGAGCATTTATACCACACTGAGCAGAGCGCTCTAGTAGTTGGAAGGAGTACATCATTATATCAACTGTGTCTTGAAGTCCTACCGACGTCCATCTACAGCAAGAATGAAATTCTCATTGTGCTGTTTCGTCGTTGCGGTTCTCGTGTGCGGTGTTATGTCGCGCGGTAAGGCTATACCTTTTAACTTAATCATGTCACGTCCCGACTCATGTCGTTAGTTTCCATTTGATGGGCCCTGGAAAGGCTGTTAATACTCTATTCAAGTGATTCAGTTTTAAGCCAGCAGTTGAATTTAATCGGTATTTGAAACTGTGGCAGCATTGTAAAGCAAACAGCGTGAACAGTTCGAGCTGAATTTCTTTAGAAACACAAAACGCGCGGCAGCGCCCTGCGACAGATAGACTTTGTACATCAGATCGCCTTCACTTATGCCCAGCATATTCTGGGTGCTGTTTCACTAATCGAAAAATTAATCATTGAATAAAAAAGATCGGCGCATAGTGCGAAACAACCAGATAAACTACAAAGAACTACTAAAAGAATCGAACATTCGGGAAAGTTATCTCCACAGAGTCACTGCGCKGGACTCGTGAGCGCGTGCGTGCAATTCACGCAATTTTTCCGATTGCGCTTTTGAATCTATCCGAGAGTTCTAAAAAGTGATGAATAATAATGAGAAATAAACTTTGTACGTCAAACTATTTGCTACTGGATTAAAAATCATTATTGTTCTCTTGACACATGAAGATATCAAGCCCTAAATAATTGAAGTCTGCATTATCAAAGATAATCTTTAATAGCATTCAGAAAGGAAATGTTTGTGTTTGTGCGTCGCCCCTTTTCAGACAAAGCTCCCCAGCCCTTCAGGCTAAATAACTCGTACTATTATGATAGCTTTGCTTTCGCGATTAAAAAACCTTTAACCCTCATAGAATCATTTATTTACTGCTATGCATACAAAGATTTTGTTGACATTTCTTGGAATCTTGCTACTATTCGTGTACTGGCTCTGTGCAATTTATCCTCTGCAGCCACGCAATTGATGAGAATCTTAAACGACAGTTTGCTGAATTAGTTATAAATTTCCATGAATGACCTAGCATAATAACGTTGACATGTGTGATATTTCGACGGATATCTTGTTGCTCTTTCTATTGTTATCAACTTGATTAGATTCACCCTAGGTAGTGAATAACCCACTGATTTCGACTCTCTGAAAGAGACGAAAATAACTCTAAAACATAGAAAAAACAAAACGTTTTCTTTGCTGAAAATAATCACCTACTAATCACGCCCGCCGAATGACTGACAAAAAAAATCCCAGACCAATATTGATTGCCAACAGGCGGCAACGAAATTTCATTGTATGATTGTTGAGAATGTGATCTCCTATAGACGTACAGAGTATACACCATTTAGCTCAGTAAATAAACTATAGACTCTGCAAATCTTAATTGTACATGGTAATCACGTCGCATTATATTAACTTACAGTTACCACTTCTCATTTTAGTCAGGGACTTTGCGCGACCTATATGTCAACCACATTTCGTGTTTTGAATGAATTTTAGAATGAAGTCCAAAATCCATTCTTGGAGAACTTTTGGTTATTAATTAGGATAATTATATAAATCTTTCTATCAACATACAGACACTGGTTGTCTCCCATCTGTGATTAGGATACGAGTGCTTGACCTTCCATAAGTATAGAATGTTCTATACAGACACCGTGCGTCTTGTACTTCTTTACAAAGCAACCAACTTTGTTTGACGATTCAAAGAGTTTAGGCAACAAAAATTTGATATCATAAATTATGACATCGGTTATATTGGTCTGGCAAACGTTCGGGCGATCTAGCGAGAAAAGACCTACTTTTCAAACTGATAAAATTGTACATATAAACACTCTCAAATATCATAAATACCATATATTTACCGTATATTTTTATTGTAACAAAAAAGGTCTATAGCCATAAAATACATTGAAGTAACCATTGTGAAAGATCTTATTCGTAATAACATTTTTTTCCAATTTTTTTTTTCATGCGGGTCATAATGCATCGAAGCACACCCTTATGCGTTAGTATTTCACTTATTTATTTGCTAGACGTGCTCACAGCGTTAGCATACAAAGCAAATACATAGCTGTCGAGATTCATCTGGTGCAGGATATCAATGACTTATCTCGTAGCTTCTTTAGCCATTGATTGGTTCATTTGAATCGCGTGACATTTAATTCATTATGTCTCACGTCACCCAACCAGTGCCTGTGTGCATCATTATGTCATGCATATCTATGCTTTTGATTACATAATATAACCAAAGTACGACCAATCTGTAAGTAATATATAAAATATAAGCGGGAGACCTTTATGGGCCATAAAGGTCAGACGCGATTATTTTATATTTCTTATCAAATTCCAACATAAGCTAAAGCATATTTCGAAAAAAAAAAATTCAGGATAAAGTATCATTTGTAAGAGAAAATCGAAGTTAAAGCTGTATGCAAATCAGGACAAATCTCTTGCTCATATAAAGATGCGGTCACGGCAATGATTTTCCATTGTGTTTACCTTATGAATATTAATGAATTAAATAATTATGTTGTATCAACACCCCCTATTATTGTTGCATTTCGTTAAACAAACGTCGCACATTAAAGGGACATATGCTCCACCAGCATCCCTTTCGAGCTTTTGCTCATGTTTTTCAATAAAAATACATCGTAATATAAGCACAACCTTACTCTTTATTATCCCTTTATACTATATGAAATGTAGATACTATAAGATTCAACCTGTAACCGATGGATGGAAACGCATTGCGAATGGATATTCGAAGTCACCTTTGCTGTGTTGTATTTAGATCTTTACAACTTAACAACGTTAATGGATTGACTGTGATATCATCACAAGTATTATCTAACGAGATTTATCCCACTAACTAGACATCAAGATGAAGTGTACACCTGACTACATGGAGGCAATGCTCGACAAGAAACAGGTGGGAAGCCTTGACACAACCGAACTACATCTGGAGGACGAAAACTGTAAATCAACCAGAGAAACTGACGACTTCATTATCTTCCGTGCACCACTGGATAGCTGTGGCACGAGCCATAACGTCAGTGACGATGGTAAATACCTGGTGTACTATAACTCTATCACCGGCGATCTCACCAAGCCAAACGACAGTTCTCTCATCACCCGTGAACATGAAGCAGTCATGCCCTTCCAGTGCTCATACGAAAGGAAAGTTGTATTAAGTGTTAACGCGTTTACACCAAAACGTGCTATGGTCTTCACAAGAACTGGTAAGCATTGATTTTGTTTCCTTTTTTGTTTACTTACTTRAATATTTGTTATTCAGTTCATGCAKACCTCAAAGKWTGCCATTTTRTTATTAACATRAATSTTTTCTTCAGCGTCRTTTGGTAACTTTACCTTTACGATGGATATGTAYAGAAATGAGGAATATGAAGAGGCATATGGTGACGATGATTATCCCATCGACATTGGTATTGGACAACCCATGTATCTGGAAGTCGCTGTCGAAAGTCACCAAAATAATTCCGCATTGTCTGTAATTCCAATTATGTGTAAAGCCACTCCAACCAAGGGTTACGATGACAAGCCGCAGTATGTTTTCATCAATGAAAGGTAGGAATCGAAGGTGATTGCAACAAGAAGGTTTAAGAAAGAAAGGAAAAGGAAGGGAAAGAAAGGAAAAGGAAGGAAAAGGAAGGGAAAGAAAGGGAAAGTCCGAGCAGGGACGATATAAGAGAAATCTAGGGAAGATTAGGAAATATAGTAAGAAAGTAGAAAAAGAAAAACAGTACATATTAGAAGATTAGAATGATTAAAGATTAGAAAGAAATGGAGCGTTGAGACAAAAGTAATAGAAGTGAAGGGAAAAAAAATAACAATTGGTTAATGGTCTCCAGCTATGGAGTGAAAGGTTTAATTATTGACACGATTTCTTCCTTTCAGCTGTGCCATGGACAAAACTATGAAGTATGACTTCAAAGAGGCTAACAAACAAAGATGGAGTATGGCGTCCTTCAGGTTTCTTCCTGACTWCAAGAATGTCTATTTGCATTGCAAGGTGACCGCTTGTCCTAAGGGAGACTCCAACTCGCGCTGTGCCATGGGATGCAARAACGACAAATCGAGACGTCGTCGTCGTCGTGAAGCACCAACTCGAGACATCGAGTTCGACTTGGCACTTGGACCAATTAGTCAGTCGGATAAACAACAGCGTTCGATGGGTAATGATTTATATTTTGTTAGGAGGAAAAACGGAATCATTGCMAATCAGATCATTTCATCAATGCCATCAACATTTTTAAACCAGTGGTTATGGTTAGTTWTCAAGTTTGTTTAACTGGCAGCTGATATAGAAACCAACATCATCATTATAATATGAACTATTTTCATCGCCATCATTGAGAGAGAAGTAGAGTTTGCCATGTATATCTTTAGTACTGTTTACAATATTTTCGACGATCGATCTTCATCACCTTTCTTAATGTACAACCTATAGAACTATTATCAACTTTATTCCAATAACTTTCTCTTGATTCGCAGGCCGTCCAAAAGCTGCTTCAACAGGCATGATCACCATGGTAACCATCATYGCTGGTGTTCTAGGCGTGGTCGCCCTTGCTTTRATCATCATTGTTGCTATAGTTTTRAAGCGTAAACAAGCGCCACCAAAACCCCAAAAGTTGCTCGTCAACGGCGAAGCATAGACGTCCTTCGTACGCTTTATTTTTTCAGTTTTCATAGTTGTAAACATCCTCGGGAACCCATAGGCTGCCGAGGATGCGTTGTAAACGAATTGATAGCGACGTACCTAGATAGTGATTATTTTGGATAAAAACAATGGGTTCTTTGTAACGCTTTGAAAGTTGATCTAATTTAGTCGGTTTGAATTGTTTCTTCGCTTGTTAAAGGAACTTGCTTGATCTCTTTAAAAGCCAGATGCTTTACGATCTTATTTGCCAAGTTAGGATGAATAATCTTTGTCTTGCCTACAAATTAGAGCGTATATAAAATCACAAGCAGTTATAATATTCAAGTGGAATGAAGCAATATGATTTGATCATATTTAGGTTTTTTGATGAAGACTTTTTTAACTTAACTAGTAGCTAGGTTTATATCAATGTTTAGAAATTTGTTATACTAACAAAAATGGAAGATTGACGTGTATGAATACAATTTGTTGTACAAATAAACGTCTTTTCGWYTCAGTTTTGWATATGAAYATTTTAAAACATTGAGCATGTGCAAAAATCAAGGCACAGAAAAGAATGSWCAACAAAGKGRCTTAGCTGGTGCTTTCACATAAAATATYAATTTATTCAAACTGATTTCAATCTTTTTTGTTGCAGTTTTAATAACTATTAATCGTAAAGTAGTAAAAGACAAACTTCRTCGATCCGCTTTGWGGWATCGGTATTTTGCTTCAAATTGGTAAAACAGTTTGCTAGCAGGTCATCAAGATTCRCTTATCGAGTACATAATTTACGTACGCTGTAAAAACAACGTACATTTACGCAGATTTATTTACTGAATTGTTGCTGTACAGCAACCTAGTTCCCAGGCCATTATTCAAGCGAAGGTGTAAGGGCCTGGGAACGAGGTTGGCTGTATAGCTATACAATGCTTGCAGGTGGATCAATTTGTAGATACGTTGTTACGTATCAGGTTTTCAGACCTTTGCCACACTGACATTTACGTCGTATAGCGTCACGTTTACGCCACGTTTAMGCACGTCATAGTGGGCAGATGAGATTACATATGACTACCTTACATCGGTTCATCTGGCTTTTAAAAACCTTTTTGCAGTTACACACGTTTACGCACGTGAATTACGCAAGAGATTATACGTGGCTATTCTATAGTTACACGATAATAGTTTCGTCGAGTTCGCCTGACGAGCAGTATTATAATTACAGCGATGAGTACCATGACTATTATTCCAAGTACACCAGCAATAACGTAGATTATCAAAATACGTGGTACTACGTCATCCTTGGATGATGGAGCGTCTAAAATCGAGAGAACGAAACAGTTATATTGAGATAAGTAATGCAACTGAGTATGTTCACTATGGTCGCATAATTGATTTAAGGCCTGCGTGCACCCGAGAAAGTTTGCGATTTTTTGTTTTGCTTTTTCAAATGATCACTTGCTGAGAGTTGCTTGCTTGCTKGTTCAAAATCAAACATGGCGAAATTCCTTATGTGAGAAAATCGCTCAATTATTCTCGGCTACACGTGAGCCTTTCATTGTTTGGTTTGTGAGCCTGTCATTGTTTGTTACATGATTTCGCGCGTTTTCTATCAATATTATTATATTGATGTACTATACACATTCAATATATTCCATACCTTCAGGTTTAAYAGTAATCGGCCCAAGCGTCAGATGATCTAGTTCGTTWTTATCTGATACRTCACCAGTGACCTCTCTTCTCTTTCTGRACCCGCTTTTCTCYASACAGCCTCGAGAACATACTGTGTTATTATCTTCCTTTGCGCATACCTGCACGAAACAGTGTAGGAACACGCTGGGGTTTGTTAGGTTAACGAAACGAAACGCCTCAATACTGAACTGTTGATACGAGGCCAGCTTGTAGTCGTAACGAAGTGTTTCATCACGGGAACAGCTGAAAATAAGTACAGCAGTATACGATATACGAACAACAAAATCATCATCATCATCATCATCATCATCATCATCATCATCAATATTTTCATTTTTGATCTGCGTCATAATCACTATGGTAACGTCAATCGTAACTATCATCACAATCATCATCTTCATTATTGATTTTGATTTCGTCAACCTTATCAACATAATCATCACTATCATTCTTGTATTCTCTCCTTCGTGTTGTCATACAAGTTTCCATGAGGAAATTTCACTAGTAACTCACCCATTCTTAATAAATTCATATTTGGGATTACTGTATGGATTGCTAGAGGGCGTCGCCAAACACTTGTCWGCAAAGATGACCAATTTGGGCTGCGATTTAACGAGTAGCTGAAGATACAGCCGCTGACCGAGGTTGACAGAAACAGGGTATTCATCGAAKGGTTCTTTGTATTGATCGGTCTTATACATGTCCATCATAAAGGTAAAATTACCACGACCGTCTAAAATCAAAGAAACAAAGATARCTCTTCATTTATATTAAACTTAATCAAAAGTGTTATTTTKYACGACTTRCTATGGAGCAATCAAAACAGATYCACTTTACTACCCCACCCACCCCCTGTTAGTAGTATTTTGACACTCACCAGCGGCTGAATAGACAATTTTACGTCTTGGAGAAAAGCTAACAGAAAGAGTTCTCCTYTTCGAATAACTGCAATCAAAACTAAGACGGACTTGAAATTTCCTAGTGATAAGATGATGAGAGGTTTCCTCGCTTTCTCCATTCACTTGGTTCCAGTAGGTTATCTTGTCAGTCGTTGTGTTGTGATACGTCCCACATCYGTCCAGCGGTACACGAAAAATAACATGCGTGTCGTTAGAAGATTCTGGTACGCATGAGCTGTCTCTTAGCCGTAGGGAACTGGGTCGAAGGAATTCGATTTGTTGGAGATGGACAGCGACCATCATATGGTGTTTACTGCACACGACAGAAATTCCTGGAAAAGAAAGAGAGATTGAATGCAGAGCAGAGCAGAGCAGAGCAGATTTGTTTGATATACATACCATTAACGTAGTGTCTATCATGGTTTGTCTTTTGGCTGACACCCTGTGTCTTCTGCACATCAATAGAGTCTTTAAGCCGAATCTGTTCTGATTTCTCTGGCCTTGGTTTGTCATGCGCGGTGAAACTGTTTTCTGGAAAAAGTCTTGTTGACCAGGTCGTTGTTGCAGGAAGGGATGTAGTGGTTGGTGGTGGTGTAGTGGATGGTGGTGGTGTAGTGGATGGTGGTGTAGTGGATGGTGGTGGTGTAGTTGTTGGCGGTGTAGTGGTTGGCGGTGGTGTAGTAGGCAATGGTATATCTAAGAAGATAAACAAATACACACAAAATAAATAAATAACACAACTTGTCATAATTCCATTGACTAACATTTATAAAGGATGGTTTATCAATTGACCCTGGTATAATAATAATAATTGAGCTGAATTTTGGTCGCAATAAATTGTTTCTGATAAACACTTTATCCTSGAGTAAAAAGAAAGGAAAAAGGGMCTTACCTTTGTCTGTACAAATCTGGTTCTTGTTATTGAAACCAAACTGCTTGACGTCCAYTGGACAKCTTGATCGGCTTGCTGGGCACTCCTCCAGTGCTACACAAAATGAATAAAAAATGTTTCTAAAATGTGGCCTAATGGAAAGTTATTATTCGTATGTTTATTGTAAAACAATTTCAGGGATAACATCGAATACCAAGGTACATTGTACAAATACTTACACAGTGATCTGTAAGTAAGAACAAAACCAGAACGATATCGATTAGGTGATGACGTCACYTTAAAGTAAAGMTCGTCTCCCTTGGATACCAYAAGAGACGGCTTTTTACACCCGCAGCTTTCTATGTCGGGTGACCGCTGGTCATTAGGATCGCTGAATTTCATCATATCRTCRTAATTACATCTCATYTGGTCGTTCTTGTATTGTTCTTTGTAGATACCAATCCAGTGTACTTCTATTACCCAACGTCGGTTCGATACAGCATAGAATCGCCACACGCAGTTGGTGGGTATCGATTGTGAATGACTTGAAGGGAAAGACGGACTTGTTAAGTATCCAGAATCTTGAGTTATCAATCCTTGTGACGTAGGACATGTATCTATGGTAACAAAGATATAATCCGTCAAACAACGTACTTAGCAACCATGTTACTAAGCAACCAAGTTACCAAGCAACGAGGCTCCAACTTCAGAAACATCTAAGTAACTTAGCAACCAAGTTACCAAGCAACCAGGTTACCAAGTAACCAAGCTACCAAGAAATCAAGTCACCAATAAAGCAAGTAACAAGTTACTAAGCAACCAAGATTCAAAACTGCACCTAGGAACGACGTGACTGCAATTAGCTACTAAACAGCTATTGGTTGCTCCACAATCAGTTTAACAAGTCAGTAATCAATAACTGTCTATCATGTACAATGACAATGATATGATGAAACTGACCTGTAGAATCTGGTATCTTCTTGCATGTTATCCAATCTAAGAAAAAGATAACATTACAATCATATGTAAGATGTTTCAATAGTCAAAATTAAATCCACAAGTGGAAAAAAAACACTGAGACTACACTATACAAACTACTAGTCTATTGGAAGTGACCCATTTCTTACCATCAGGCAATGCTTTGAATAAAATCCTCATGCTTCCCATTCTTGCGTTTTCATTTGACACAAGCATCAGGGTCATCGATGAGGTCGTCGAGTATAACACCAATTCCCCTCCAGCGCATGGCCCATAGCTCCCTATCATTGCACTATCAATGACTGTTAACCCATCGTATACGTATAGYCGATCAGACTCGTGGTWGAGATGCAATATTGCAATTATTATCTTGATTCGTTGGGTTACTTTCTTAGCTTTAAGAGTCCATAAACAGGTCTTCTGCGCATGCCCATCTGTAAATTTTGGCTGCCGAATCTCATCAAATGTTTGGTTTGTGAATTGAGCGGTAATCAAGAAGGTCGTGTTTGAGTCTTCACAGGTGAATTCTGTAAGAAAACAATATAGTTAAGTTGATAATTGACACGTGGTTTGTGAATTGAGCGGTAATCAAGAAGGTCGTGTTTGAGTCTTCACAGGTGAATTCTGTAAGAAAACAAAATTGTTAAGTTGATAATTGACACGTTTTTACGCTACGTGTAGGCTTCTTTTAATAAGTGGAAATTATAGCTATTTATAGTAAAAAGGCTCACGGCGAAAATATAAAATGCCCCGCGGGACGAATCGCGAGCGTTACCGTGGCGTGATTGATAACATTCACTCACTATATCGGCGTGAAATGTCTGACCTAGGAGCTTCTGGTAGCTTAAATCAAAGCGATGATTRAAAACTGTGGGAGTAAACATTCAAAATCGCGAGGAAAGTAGTAGAATTTTTTAAAGTTAAAACTTTGTCATGTTAATTAATTCTATAAGAAGGAAATTGGTCCAGATGATTCTGAAGTGAGCTCCCGTCTGCTCTCATTGCAAAATAACAGCCYTTAATTCAGGGATCTCATAGYTATAATCATAGGTGCTTCTTTCATCTCGGGATAATTAACGCAATRATTAAGGGCGTGGCCCCACGTGCGCTTCAAGATCWCTTAAAAATATTGCTTTTCAATTGATTATAAATGAGCTTCATGAATTATGATACGATAGGATACTACAAGCATAGCGAAAAATTACCGGAACTTTCCACAGGACATTATATGATATTAAWTCGATGTCTTTAGTAGAGTTAAACGAGCTATAGTAATGTGTAGAGGTTATTGGGATTCAATGTTTTCTAAACCGCTAATTTGCCAACGTAATGTATGGTTGAATGATCAACTTGTGTCAGGAACACAACCCACAAATATTCATAGGTACAAAGGCCTTGAGCAGATGGTACAACAGATCATAATAGTTTGACTAAATAACTTTTATACAGAAAAGGTGTATGTAATTGACTTTTTAATGTGTACAGTCTGAAACCTGCGAAAGTTATTCATCATTATACTTGCACTGTATAAATGCAGCTTTAAGCTTGTCGCCTCAAAACCACGAAAAGACAATTACTTTGCACTCAAAACTTGTTTTTCATTAAATTTTCATGGCTGAATTCTGAAAATTTGTTTTACTTTTACCAAGAAATGATTCAGYGCAAAGTCTATCAACTCATGAGTCTTCAAAGATGCTCAACTCGTGCATAAACCCATGATTATAGGATTAATTCTGAGACTAATTCCAGCTTCTGGGTTTGCGGTGTGTTAAGTTAGTGTGTTAAGTGACGCATAAGAAAAACAAATTGTTTTTTTTTTTAGTACATTCGCACTGATTACTAGAAGGCATCACAATTTCTTCTTAATATTGGGACCTGTTTTTTATCATCTACATTGTAGCTTAAATAAGCCGTTTATATCGGATATGTTATCTTTGTCTCTCTATTTTTTGACAAAAGTTACRTC